TGTTCTTCCGTTTCGTTTGCGCGTCTTCCAAGTTCTTGTTATGAGAACACGTATACGCGAAAAGAGTTTCGTGTACGTGCGTAAACGATTCATATTTATATTTTGACATATTTATATTTATATTCGATATATTTACATTTGCATACAATTCAATACAATTATAATTCGATATATTCGATATTTTTTTTTTTTTTTTTTTGCAATAAAATTGATCTTTTTCTCGTGTTAAGCAACATTATGTCGAAAAAAACCAAATTTATTTCATCAATTAATAATAATAAAATTTATTAATAATAATAAAATTAATTTTCCAGTGGAGAAAAAGAGAGAGATGGGGGGGGGGGTTGTTTTTGTACACGAGATGCGAACTGAATATAGCATAGATTTTTACAATTTTGAATTTAATTCGAATTACAATGTTGTATTAATTTACACGTTAAAAAAAAAAAAAAAGAAAAAAAAATAAATCGCCAGCGTTTGGCTCTTACCGACCCCTATTATTTCTCTCGCGCGGTCGAATATGTATGCCAAAGAGAACCGTGTACAACTTTAGGGTATATATTTGTTTGTGTGAAAAAAGAAAAAAATCGTCGCAAAAGCACTCGGTTAAGTAAAGGGGAAAAAATGGCGGGGTATTACCGTTGATATCTACTGATTTACCACTTTCGCGGTGGGTTCAATTTGTAATGCCTTCATTGAAAAGCAGGATATATTTCTCCTTCATGCGCACGGTACGTCGCGTAATCCGGCAATCTCGTAAATGTGGCGAGTGTTCTATCGACTTAATTGCTTCGCCCTCCTTAAATTCACGAGAACGGCTTGGGAACTTTGCCTGTCCGAGAACTCTGTCTCCTCTCGGTCGGAAGAGAGAGAGAGAGAGAGAGAGAGACAGGTCACGGGAGGCGGATTCTCCTCGTGTTTCGTTCTTTTTTTTTTTTTTTTTGTTTTTTTTGTTTCACGACCGTCCGCGTTTTACGTATCGTAACGACGACATTAGTATCGCGTGCAACAGCTCGTGCAGCTTTTAACGTGAAACTCGCGGCCGCTCGCGAAAAGCAGCAGCGAGCTGCTGCTGCTACTGACAAGATTTGCGAACGTGCACTTCGAAATATCAGAAACGTCAGAGATTAATGCAGATCGCGGGCATTACGCGATTTCGTATCGCGTTACTTTGCAATGTTGTTGAAACAAAAATTCATTCGATTTTATCCCGCGCGGATATTGTAAACTTGTCGTCGGAAACGTTTCGCGCAAATCCATCCGGTCATGATCAACAGACAAATGATGTTAACTGAAACCGTTGCGTTTGTATGCGCGCACACACACACACACGTATGCTGCGCATAAACGGCGGAGCAAAACGAGATGTTTATTAAACCTCTCGTTACTTTCGAGCATCGAGCTCGAACGCATAAGCGCGTAAAGAGCGCTCGAAATTGCGGAGTAAAAGCGCGCGGGGCGCGCTCACTGGATTAATAATGCTTTCCTCGATCGCAATCGCGCTTCCACGATTTATCGGACGCGCGTACCTGTGGGACGCGCGACATTTCCGACTCGCCGCTAATACATTGCGGACCATCATCGATAGAGTTTCTGATATCGCGAGCATTAAGTATTCAAAGAGGCGCGATTTTATTTTCGGTATCCGCGAACAATTGATCTATGGACTTCCCGTCGTTTTGCGTTGTTGCCATTCGCATCTCCCGCGTTGAATATTTCATTCCCGATGCATCGCGCGCGCATCGGGAAGTCAAAAGTTACAGCTTTTTCTTGCAACGGAGTCGCGAACTGAAAATATTCTATTTTTATGTGCCTTAACTTTTTATAAGACAATTACATATATATATGTATGTATATGTTATATGATAACTATATGAGTATTTTGATAAACAATTGATTAAATACAAAGACTTGCACGTGCGCTAAAAACTGATGAAAGTATAATATTTTCGCAAAAGGAAGAGAAATGATATGACGTATGTTTATTTTTATCGGAAAAAAAAAAACGATCGCAAAATACAGATTAATACAGATACTCCGCGGTGTAAAGTTCCATTAGGTTCCATTAGGTAACTAGTTAATTTATCTCTCTCACGATCCACGTTCCGCCGATCTCTTTGACATCCGAGAGAGCTCGGCAAACGAGCTCAAGTGCGTGAAACGTTCGTGCGAAAATCTCTTAGCGCGCGCTGAATTCGCGGATCATGTAAGCTCGCGTTGCGGAAAACAACCCGACCGATCCTCGAGTTCGAGATCCTATTGACTTATGGGGCTTCCGGTTTGTCGATCGGTTGTCGAGAGATAAAGCGACAAAGAGAGAGAGAGAGAGAGAGAGAGAGACGCGCGCGCGCGCGCACACATATACATTGTCTGTTCAATAAACAAACCCGGGTCGGTTTGATTTGCATTGCGCGGCAGTCACGCCGCCGCCGTCGCGGTGCGAATTTCAACGCGACGGCACCCGCTACTCAGTGGCCACCTGAGTAACGTGAGATACCTGCGCAATGACGCCGAAACCCTCCCTCCCTCCCTCCTCCCTTCTCCCGGATCCCGGGAACGCGTAATGCGCCCGAATAAGAGAGGAGGGCTTTAAGGGACACATTCCTGCCGCGTCTGAATCGCGCGGCGTGTTGCGTTGCTCGCGTCGCGCCGCTCGCGATTCAACGTCGAGCACGCTGCCATCGAATGACAGTCTCTGATGTCAAAGCATACCCGAACCCTCCGTCTGTATACATACAATGTGATCAACCCTCCCCTGTCTCCGACATTCCCACCCTTTCCCCTCCCCCCGTTGCGCGCACGCGCTGTCTCTCCTTCCGAGAGCCGCGCAATTCGAGCGGCAAATGCAATATTGTGGCCTCGCCGCCGAGACACTCGAGATAAAATGGCATGCTTTCGCGTGATTTCGCTCTCTCTCTCTCCTTTTTTTTCTCCCGTTGATTTTCAAAGGCTGGTTTTTTTTTTTCTACCTACCTCGAGGCTCTTCTCTTTTCTACGTGAATGCGCGTATCGGGAGTCGATTCACTTGATAATTTTTAATTAGACACTCTCGGAAGAGAGCGGCACGCGTGTCATTTCGGTTTCTACACCGCACTTTGCGATCGAGCGCGTATTATTCGGTGCGCGTCACGTGTGCGCGTGCGCGCAATTAAAAGTTTAACGATATCGGAAAAAATCGCGTATAAAATTTATGTATTTGCTAGATTTTTGTTTATCGCAAAACGCGGCGCACATCTCATTTAACACATGTTTCATTTCTATGGGATTGTTTTTTCGGCGATTGAAAATTGAAATTGCGGTAGTGTTTGCCAAATACAATACACGGTCTCTCTCTCTCTCTCTCTCTCTCTCTCTCTCTCTCTCTCTCTTGTTGCGCAACACTGCGCTTTAATTGTAGACAAGCATCGATGTCATTTTTGTTAATAATCGGCAACCGGACGCGTTTTTCTCTTCTTTCGCGTGTGCGACACTCGTCGGGGAACAATTTTTTGTTTTTTTTTTCTTTTTGGTTTTTTTGTATTTCATTCGCTCGTCTCGTGAGTGGAGTTGTTCGCATTATAGTCGATGAAACAAATCGCGAAAACGAGATGCCCTTGTGCGTCGCGCGGCTCTCAAGCGTTGGCGGCGCGACATCCTCTCTCTCTCTCTCTCTGTCGCGCCGACCGGAATGATCAGAAAGTGGATGCAGACGAACGCCCGCGCAGCAACACGTCCGGCCTATGAAATCGGAGCGGAACTCTTGCGAGCTCGAACGAATGTTTATTTGAAATAGGATATAGCCGCGAAACGCGCGATTGCGCGTTCCTGATTTCGAAACCCGAACGGGGGGATCGAGCCGAGTATCAAGCGCGAAACATGCGCGACTAACGAAAAATTTTGTGCGCCCCTCTGTTTGCGGTCCGAGCGTATCGGCCGGAACAAATCAACAATTGGCTTTGTGCGACACGAGAAGAGTCGATAAGTGCGCGGAAATCAAGAACCGAAAATCCAATAATGACGACAATACAAACATGTTGTTGAAAAATATATTTGACGCGCTTAAAACGCTTTTTCTAATTCTAGTTTTAAGTGAAAACAATAATTTTAGTTTATTTTTTTTCAGTTTACATCGCACGCGGTCACAAAGAAACAAGAAAAAAAAATACAAAGATACGTCTGAAACAAAATTGTTTCGAAAACGTTTATTCGAATCGCTTGTACACGTTGCTTTTTTGCTAATATAAGAACGCAAAAGTTGTTTAAACGCGTTTATTCGTTCGCAATACAATTTTATCGCATCAAAATCGTTTGCTTGCGCAAAATCTAATTTCGCGAGTAATGCGTGTCAAGGAGAGACGAAGAGAGAGCAAAACGAGAACTGTCGACGTTTGTGCCAGCGGAGAGACGCCATCCGACCTACAACCTCTTATCTTGCAACTCTACCCTCAGCCTCTCTCTCTCTCTCTCTCTCTCTCTCTTAGTGCCAACTGCTTTACCACCTTTGAAATCTTATCCGTTGTTACGTGTACGATCTTCTCAGAATTTATATTAAACAACCAAGACTCTCTCTCTCTTTCTCTCTCTCTCTCTCTCTCCTCGATATTGGTTTGTTCGCGCGTCTTAAAGGGGGAAGATAGATTTTCTCAGCGAAATCTTGCGTTTGGAAGGAACTCGATGCGAAAATATCTCATCTTTACACAACTCTTTACGAACGTGACTCGCTTGTATGCGACAATCGATCCGAGATATACGAGAGATAGTCAGTCTTCTTCTGTTTTTTTTTTTTATTGAGAAATTAAAGTTCGATCGATTAAAGCCGAGTTGCGAATTCGTCGTCAGAGTTGCGTTGGAAAAAAAATGATAGATTTAAATTAAATTTGATCCATTATTTCAATTATTATGAAATTTATTATCTCTCAATTTAATTTACAAGTCTATTAATCTCGCAATTATACATTTTTTTATTTGCGCTTTTCTTCCTATACAATAGTCTCGATGATGTTTTTTTTTCTATGTTGCAGTTTGTTCCTCGAACCAGTCCCAATGCAGGAACGGCCAGTGCATCGACAGTAGCAAATATTGCGATGGCGTGCAAGATTGCCACGACGGATCCGATGAGTACAATTGCCGTGAGTATTGTTACCGCGACCGAGAGAACGCGATTCTTTCGTGTTCGCTCATTTATATATATTTGCATGCGCATGCGGATTGTTAATTGTCGCGACGGCGCGGCCGTCACTCGCAGATTGACGCGCGCGCCGTTCGGATGGGAGAACTTACAAAAGCGCATCCGTCTTTTTTTTGTTTTTTTTTCTACCAACTCTTTTCTCCGCAAATATCATTTTGTTCTAATTAAACGTTGCATGCACTCTCGTACATTTTGAAACGTTAATTTCCTTCTTGCATGAAATCGCAAACGCATTGCGAGAGTTTTCACGTTATTCCCCAAAAAAATTGGGGAGAGGCGACTGCACGGAACGATCGAAAGATCCGAGTTTCGACTTCTGGCCAAGGTGTTCTTTTTCGCGTTTCAAATGTTTTATATTCCCGCGGAGGAATAAATTGATTATTTTGTGACGCAAATCAAGCAATCCCGGTTGAGATTGAATTCAATTGAAATGATTTATGTAAATAATATAATAATTTACACGTTTAAAATTAAAAAAAAAAAAAAATCATCTCGCACACAAACACTCGGCACATTGGCTCACACGACCGATCTAATTTTCGCTGATTTGACACTATGCAAGCTGAAATTTGTTGTAACTCTTAAAAAATATTGCCTCCGTCTCTATTAACTTGCAACAAAGACGGATTAATCGGATCAAAAATTGCACTTCTTGAAAACTTTTTTTTCTCGTAGAGAAAGAAACCGAAAAGAAAAGTGCGTTTTCACGTGACACCTGGTAGATATCGCGCGGCTGATTCGCGACCAGGAAATATATATATATATATATATAAGTTTGATAATAAGATCATTCTCGCACGTACGGATCGTCGCCTACATGCCGATAAAAAAAAAGTATCTTCGCGCTGAATCGTCACTAATACTACGGTGCGCGGCACCCTCGGCACGCAGCATTATTTATCGCCAGAGCTAACGCTTGCACGTCATGGGTCTGCATGCGCCGGAACTAATCGCGTCGCGGGTCTCCGACGTATTACGATGAGCTCAATAATTATAATAGCTGTGACAATAACAGTGGCGTGTGCTCGGGGGGGGGGGAAGGAGGGGGAGGGAAAAAGTAGTGTGGTCGCGATGGCGTTCTTCGGCCTCGCGTTTGTTTAAGGCCGTTGCACCCTCGCGTTGCATCGACGGCATTCCGTCGTTTTTTTTTTCTTTGTCCAACCGGCCCCTAGACAGTACTCACCCTCCGTCTTTTCCGCACATCGCATCGGCTCATTATTTCCGTCGCTTTTTGCGAAGACACGCGTTTGACCGTGCGCATCGCATAACCACGAGACGGTCGTGTCTCTTTACGGCCCAATTTTGTTTTTTTTTTCAAAAACTCGCGAAGAGAGGAGAACAAGAGCGAGAGTTTTGCGATCACACAAAGATCGCTAAGTCGCGACACACACGAAAATAAATCGATAAAAAAAAAAAAATGTCGATCGTTATTCGCGGAGCGCGTTGCGCTTCGCTTCGCGAAAAGCGCGCAACGGTGATCCGGAATGTCAAAAATTAAACTGATTAAATTTGCTTTGTATTTGGCTTTTTGTTTTTTTTTTTTTTTTTTGTTTTAAACTTGTATAAAATTGATTGAGCGCGACCGCTTCGCGCATTCGTAACGCGCACTCCTGAGGAAGAGAACGCACATTACACATCTGCATGTGTAATTTCATCCCGCGAGGGATGATTATTGCAAGAAAAAAACAAGAGTAACGACTCGGACTTGTTTTGTTTCACCTTGTCCAAATATTTGCGTTGCAATCGCAATTTTACGCGGTGCCGGGTTTATTATGTAGCGGAAATAACCGTAATGAAGAACAACGCGCGCCTCAATGACGCACGCGTTTGTATTTACGTGATTATGCAACATTTACGCGCGCATATATGTACGGGAATATAATGACAGTAACGAGGAGACGCGATTGCGCTCGCGATTGCGTCAACAGAATCGACCGCTGTGATTCTTAATTCATTGATGCCTCGTTCGAATCATCTCATTAGAAGCGTTAATGATCGTCGAGGATCGCGAGGGAGAGCGATTAAAAAAATACACACAAAAAGAAGCGGAGAAGGGCGGAATATCTCGCCCGCTCTCTCTCTCTCTCTCTCTCTCTCTTTTTCTCTCTCACGTCCTCCTCTTCTCTCCCGTCTCTCAAATCCGTCGGACGGCCCGCTGTCGAACGAGATTTACTCGCGTTTATTAATCCGCCCTAATAACCGGCCGCAATTTTAATCCGACGTTAATCTTCACGGGCCGTTGCGGTCGGAACGTCCGGCCCTATCGTCACGCTCTCGGCGCCCTCCCCCCCCCGGAATTTCGCATTTTCACCGCTTTAATCCAATTTTGATTCGTGACAGGGGCGCGTAGCGTCCGACGAACTTCTCCGCGGAAAATCGGCGCCCGTCGCGAAATCGCGACAGAGCGAGTCATCAAGCTAAATCTCCCGGCGATGAAATTTACGTTTTGTTTCTGTCCGATCCCGAGATGTTGGGATTCGCGTCACGAAGTCTCAAAAACAAACGTTTCGAATAGGAAAACGTAGTATAGTTTATCTGTCTCGTATTTGAAAGTTTTAATGGCGGAAATCTCCGTCAAAGCGGACCTTAAGTCGCCGCGACACATTCGCCGCCCGGGGAGAAATATATCGCGCGCGTACACACACACACACACATTTACGTTTAATATAAAATATATATATATATCGTAATTGGTTCCGATTAAATACGGGAAATTAGTTGGAAAATTAAGTTTCGCAGTTGAACCGTTAATATCTCGAATGCATATTCGCGTATCGTTCGATGGATCGTTTCGGACTATCCGGATATATTCGCGCGTATCGCCGCGAGCACATCGGGGGCTCGTGAGCGGATTATTGAACTCGCGGCTCGTTTGCAATTCAATCGTCAAATGGGCGAGGCTTCGGGGCAGGCCTTGAACCTAAGATGATGTCATAAATAGCAGAATCTCTCAGCGCCCGGTTATTTTATCAGGCGACTCACGACTTTGCGTGCGCCGCGTCTCGCTCCCCTCGCTCCCCGCGGGGCGCTGTTTTAAATTCGTCATTTGAATTTGTTTAGACGAATGAAGAGAAGAAAAAAAATCGGTTTTCGTGATGACCGCATTGCAACACACGGAGAAAGAGAGAGAGAGAGAGAGAGAGCGCACGGTTGAACGTCGCATGAAGCGATTAATCTTCTACACAATGAATCACTCGAATTCTTTCGCCGCTTTAAATCCGTGTAACAAATGAATTCTTTATAATCGGTGGCTGCTGTTACTCGATTCAACACAATTAAGCGAGCGCTGAAACTTTCGTAATTCCACACCGTCGCATTTATTCGATGGCGCGGTGAGAATTATTTATTTCATATCGCGGTTTATAGAAACGCGCTACATACAGAGCAAAAAACGTTTTTTTTTTTTTTTTTTTTTTTTTTTTTTTTTTTTTTTTTTTTTTGTTTTTTTCTGGTTTTGGATTTTATATCGANGGTGAGAATTATTTATTTCATATCGCGGTTTATAGATATTCGTCATATACATAGCAAAAAACTTTTATTTATTTTTTTTTTTTTTTTTTTTTTTTTTTCAATTTGTTTTGTTTTTTTCTGGTTTTGGATTTTATATCGATTTGCTCTTGAAGCAGTTAATTTTTCGCGATTAATTGTTTCTCACACTTCTCGTTCTCGCGTGAGATCGCCTTGAAACAAAAAATAATTTCAACGGGCGAAAAGTCGCGAGCGCGATCGCGTGACAAGTATCACAAGATAGCGTCAGATGTGTGTCGTATTTTCTTTTTTACATATGTAGCAAATGCTGAAACACTTTTCTTTCTTTCTCTCTCTCTCTCTCTATCTCTTTGTCTCTCTTTCGCTTTCACTTGCAAAACGCGACTTTTCTCTTTCTTGATTTTAATCACTGTTTTTTTCATGCGACTTTTCATGAGACTCTCATGAGCGTCTGCGTCCACACACGCGTGTGTGTTTCAACGTGCAATAACAATCATCGAAATGTGGCTAAATGTGAAAAGCAGCTGTTGGTCGTCGCACGTCCCTTCATTCAAGGTTTCCCTCGGGCTCTCTCTCTCTCTCTCTCTCTCTCGTTGTTAATTAATCGTCGCCGGAAATTAGAGTACGACGCGAACGTACGATTGACCGTACGTTAACTCTCTCTCTCCTTCATTTATAATCTCTTTCGTGAAATTTTCTCAAATGCGTGCTAATTAATGGCCCAAGCACTTGGGAGCGCTTAACGCGTTTCTCTCGGCCACTAATTAATTCTTCAAGAGCTTCTTTCATACTGTCTCACGTCATCTCGCCACGATTCTGTGTTGGACATGTGTCGTCCGGTTCGGGATTGAGAATGAGAGTCAGGTCTGTTTTCCTTGACTTTTGACGCGCGTTTTTAACAAACATATTTGAAGAGGAGAATAAAATAAATGTCACGAGAAAAATGATAAAATACGAAGTATAGAAAAAAATTAGAGTAAGACAGAGATCTGATTTGAGGAGAGTTTATTCATTGAACGAACAGGATCGTGTAAAAAAAAAACGCATTCGAGATGCGCGATAGCCTTTTTTGGGGGAAAAAAAAAACATGTTACTAATATCGTTCAGTCTTTTACATGTGCAGTTTGGTACACAAACTCCACAACAGTATGTTTCCTACCTAGAAGAAGCGTGTGCAAATAATCACAATCGAGATTCTCTCGATATTGTTGTTACACTTTTTATCTCGACGCTGATTGGACGTATCTCGGATGTGTTTCTCGATTCATATCGTACGAATCACCATCGTATGCGAAATTCATGCGATTGAGAAGTTGGGAGATTTTCATGGAGCAATATCTCGAGAACGACCGAACCGATCAATTTCGTTTTTTTAGTCTCAATCGCTTCGAAACAAAACACTAACAAACAAAAAATATTCTTGCAATTTTTTTATTTGTGCTTCTGATTTGGAGATATGCGACGATGCAGTTTTGAAGTGAGAAATTCACGTTTTCTCAAAAACGTTATTATTATTATCGTCGTCGTGTGACCAAAATGTGCGCGTGTTCGTATGTTTGCTAACAGATGACATGTACGAACGCGTTGAAAAAAGAAAAAAGAAAAAAGAAAGAAAGACAGGAAGTGTGAGTTAGAGAAGAAAAGAGAGTTTTACATACTTATCTTTAATTGCCACAAATAATCCAATCAGCGTCGTATTAAAAGTGTACAAGTACTTCTCTCACGTGACAGGGAGGAGTGAAAAAACAACACGTACCTAAAGTCACGTGACTTTACTTCAGTCATGTGTCTTTAAAAACGTGACTAAAGTAAAGTCACGTGATAGGGAGAAGTGGAAGAACAACACGTGAGTAAAGTCACGTGACTTTGCTTTTGTCACGTTTTTAAAGACACGTAACTAAAGTACAGTCACGTGACTTTAGTCACGTTTTGTTTTTTCACTTCTCTCTGTCACGTGACTTTACTTTAGTCACGTTTTTAAAGACACGCATGTTGTTTTTTCAATCCTCCCTCTCACTATTGTTCAAGTTTGATTTTCACGCGTTATGTCTGACATCTCTCATATTGTATTATATGGTTTGTAATATATACTAGCTGTCATCTCACGCGGTGACAGGTTGGGTTCACTGACGCAACACGTTAAAATAAAAATAACAATAGCGTGCGCGTAGCGCGCGCCTGTGTTGTGCTAGTTTTGTTCAAATGGTAGCATTATTTTAAAGTACAAGTAATATAACATTTGTCAGATATATTACTTTTTCTTCTAAGAACATACGTGCAGAAGTGCGATTTGATATATTCGCAAAGTGAAGTAGTTTTACCAAGTACGAAACAACACGGGTGGGTCACATAAAACGCAAATAAATATTATTTGAAAATAAATAATATTTCATCAATAAAATAATAAAAAATATTTCATCAAATAAACAATATTTTATCTTTATTTTGAATGTATGCGATAAATCACGAGAAATAGAACATTTACCGAGAATATACCGAGAGAGTTCAGCGAATAAACTCCTTGAAAATTTCATCTCTGTATATTTTGCTTCTTACTTGTGTTCACACGAGAGAATCCTCTCTAATTCAATTAGAGAGGAGTCGCGATTTCATTCATAAATAAATTCCATTGTTTTCGTGTAATTCTCGTTCTCGAACATCTCAGCCAGGAATGTTTTAATTAACTGTGGTCGCGACGCGCGAATCGCGACGCGCGAATCATTACGCTTACTTCATCTTTTATGTCTCTGTGTTCGTTCGGCAAGTTTATATACTACATCTAATCTTGTTGGTGCCAGTAAAAACGTTTCTCAGCTGTGTCTGTCTGTACGTGTCATCTTGTCGAATTGACCCGCGTCAGTGTCGGGTGTCATTGCGCGCCGTTTCCCGACGGCGTAAATCTTGCTCCTAAGATTAGCCTGAGTGCAATTCTTACAGCCTGCAGGGAAGACCAGTTTGAATGCTCGCCTGGTTTTTGCGTGTCCCTATCACGACGCTGTGACGGATACACGGACTGTATTGGTGGAATGGACGAACAAAACTGTCACAACATGAGTACGAATTGCCCGCTATTTTATCACGTCGTCAACTAGCTTGCGAAACGCGCGCGCGCGCGCGCGCGAGCCCGCACAAAGTATGCAAATCAACTGCTTCTGAGTCGGGAATATGACAAAGTCGCGCGCGATTTTGCATTTCAACAACGAGACCGAGCATTCGTTTGACTCGTTAAAAACCGTTAAAGAAATCGACGCACATTTTTCTGTCTGCGCTTATTGAAGTTTCTTATATCACAAAGATCGAACACACACACACACACACGGTTTCAATTCCAGATATCAGTATAGCTACGGAAACGCGAGATAATAATCGAGTTTGAGAATTTTATCACATTTCTTTTTGTATTTCTTTGTTTTTGTTTTTCATGAAACTCGCATAAAATTTGCGCTTAATTGTTTTTATTCACTCGACTGAAAATTTTTTGAGAACGTCGTTTGCCCACGTGTTCCCGCACGTTTTGCATGTCTCTCCGCGTAGAGCAGTTCACACTCCAACGTTTTGCAACACACGCACACACACACACACAAACGCGCGCGCGCGCGCGCGCATTTCGAGAGGTAGGTATGAATTCTAATTGCATCTTTGGATACGGTGGAAGGAATATGCGAATTTGAACGGCGCCTTGCACTACAGCATGGAGAGTTTGAGCTCCCGCATTTTTAACTCATTAGGAAGTAGCGCATGAGATAATTTCTACACACGACGCTGGTTACATCACAAAGTTACGTTGAAACTCGCGCGCGAACAGGTATTCGCACTTGCAGCTAACGCGACGACGATTCTTGCACTTAATTATTCGTGGATATGATGACGGCTTACATGGTCGCAGATTTGCTCTCGCAAAACAGTCTCGCAAATAAGTTAACAAACGCGCGCGCGCGCGCGCGAAACGACATGGAGTCGCTGTTATGTCCGGAATGATATCGCGCGAATTAAAAATTTATCCCAACGGAAAATAACTCACAATCGAGAAAACATTCTCTCTCTGCATTACGACGTAATGGCGCCACACTGGTGTATAGTAGCTTTCAATTGATTTCGAAATATGTCGGACGCAAAATCGAAACGCGCGTGCTACAAAAAATCGAGTTCTCCACCGTGCGTCGCGCTCGAATGCGCAGAACTCGATAGGAATTTGTAAATAGAATTTAGTTTTTTTTATCAAATGGCAAAATTCTTCCATGAATATACGTGATACGTATTAATAGAACTATCGCGCGATAGTTAGAAAAGTATAAAATCGGGCTTCATCGGTTTTTTTTTTTTTTTTTTTCGTTATTTTTGGCGACACATTTTTCGCATATCACATTTCTGCGATGGAATGAATACCCCCGAAGTCATCAACACAAATGTCAAGCAGACGCGAGTAACGTGATATAACGGCCTATATTTACCGTAGGTCAAGTGGACTTCTCCAAACAGTTGCTGTTTTTAATTAACTAAAGCAGCCTGTCGAATATTTTTGCACAACGCGACAGGGTGATAACTGCACAATTGATTATTGATATCGCGTAAATCGAATATACTTCGACGACCGGTTCAAAATTGCGACAATAATAAAAAAAAAAAAAAAAAAAAAAAAAAAAAAAAAACCCAAAAACAAAAAACCAAAAAAAAAAAAAGCACGAACCGATACCTCTTCTGTTATCGT